CAGCTTCCTCTCCTATTACATAGGCGGCAGCCCGACCTCACAGGCCTGTTTTGGGGTGCTTGTTGTCAAGTGGCAGGGACTTCCGCCCCCTCCCTACCATGGAAGGTAAGAAGGCAGGCCTCCCAGGTGGGGGTCACAGGAGGGGCGGGTGTGGAGCTGGGCCTCCGGCCTCAGTCTGGGTTTAAAGGGGATAAAATGCTTCCCAGGACGCCCCCTCTGTGAGGGGGGGAGGGCACCCCGTAACAGTAACGGAGCTCTCACACCTGCCCTAACCCGGGGCGATGGAACAGCCAGCGGAGCAGAGTGAATTTTCGTGTTGTTTTTGCTTATACTGAAGCCTGTTGGGTGCCCTGAGGCTGGTCGCTGTTCTGGCATTTTTCTTCCCTCATTAAGGAAGGCGCCCCTCGTGGGTTCCCTGTGCCCGGCTTGGAGCCCAAAGTAAATATCGCTGGCGTCCACTTCCCTGCTCGCTGGGTGGAATTAAGAATCAGGCACCTGTGGGAGAGAGAGGAGCCGGGGAGCCAACAGCTGGGCGTTACTCAAGAATGCCCCATCCTTACCCGCCCGGTGTGGCTCAGTGGCTGAGCCTCGACCTCTGAACCACGAGGTCACGGTTCGGTTCCCGGTCAGGGCACAGGCCTGGGTTGCGGGCTCCATCCCCAGTGTGGGGCGTGCAGGAGGCAGCTGGTCCATGATTCTCTCTCATCATTGATGTTTCTATTTCTCTCTCTCTCCCTTCCTTTCTGAAATCAATTAAAAATCTATATTTTTTAAAAAGAACACCCCAGTCTTTATTTTGTTAATCCTCGCCAGAGGATATTTTTCCATTGGTTTTAGAGAGAGTGGAAGAGAGAAACATGGATGTGAGAGAAACACAGCGACTGGTTGCCTCCTGCACGTGCCCCAACCAGGGCCCGGGAGCGGGAGGAGCCTGCCACCAAGGTACGTGCCCTTGACCCGAATCGAACCCCGGGAACCGTTGGTCCACAGGCCGACACTCTATCCACTGAGCCACACCAGCCGGGCAAAGCTTTATTTTTCTTGCCAGTTTGGCTAAGAAGCGAGAAGGAACAATAGCTTCAAACCGAAATAATTTGCATTTATGATGAATCCAAGGAATATCTACCTTGCATTTTCCCAAAAAAGAAAAATTAAACCCATTTTTAATTAACTGATAAACTATTAATCAAATTTCTGCAATGTTAGGTGACACATTATTCATTTAGATGGAATGACTGTGAACTTAAACTAATCAAACCTGATTTGCCCTCATAGGCCTGATTGAGATACGTTTCAGCCAGCGTATACAGAGAGCAGACGCGGGCCTCACCTGATCTCCAGCACACACCGCTGAGTTAATAAGGGCAGTTTTTTTAAAATAAAAAAAAGAAATGAGACCAGCCTTTCTTCATCTGCATATCAAAATCAAGAAGAACTTAATTGCAAAACACATATTCCTGAAATCTAATCATTCCACGGCTTTAGGGTATTTTATTGAAGCGTGTTAAATTATGGACAGAATATTAATGGAGGAGCTAATCAAACCCAATTAGTCACTTCTAACAATAGCCCCATAAATATACAGGTCGGGGACCGCAGCCCCGTGCCCACGCGGTGAAACCGGTAAGATAGGGAACCCGTGGGGTATTGACGAAGCCTTCGTGTCGAATTTAAAGCCAAAAATGATTGGTTAGGTCACTTCGACGAAGACCAGTCAGGCAGTGCCCCATGGTGTTTGACAAGAATTCACAAGTTTCACCTGTTTTTCAGGGAAACTCAAATCCAGGACGTTAGCGAGTCTGCGATCAGTCAGTCAGCAGACCCTAACAGGGTGGCTCACCACATTCACGACTCAGTCTGTTTCTCTGGCATCTGAAGCCTTTTTTTCCGCCTTTTGTTGGGGGCTTCTTCCAGGCCTGGCGGCCTTGCCATCTGAGGGCCAGGCTGGAGGAGCGGAGGGCGGGGTGGGCTGTGTGCGGGTCTGGGGCTTGGTCGTCCACCTGTCTCCTTCTCTGCTCGGGGCAGAGCAGGCAGTCCTTGCTACCTGCTGGACTCCCTCCGCCAGATGGAGGCTTTGGGAAAGGGGCTGGAGGGTCCGGGAGTCCCAGCCTTCCTGTGCGGGGTCTTATATATATTTTTATTGATTTTAGAGAGGAAGGGGGGAGAGAGAGAGGGACATCAATGATGAGAGATGTTTGCACATCCCACACTGGGGATCGAGCCTGCAACCCGGCATGTGCCCTGATCGGGGAATCAAACTGTGACCTCCTGGTTCATAGGTCGACACTCACCTGACCCCTGAGCCACGCTGGCCCGGCCTGTGAGGGGTCTTGGTGGGAGATTTCAGGCCAGAGAGCCAGGCCAGGCAGAGGTCCTGGGAGTGCCCCCTGCAGACAACTTCCTCTGCTTCTTTACTTTCTTTCTTTTTTTAAATATGTTTTTATTGATTTTAGAGAGGAAGGGAGAAGGAGAGAGAGAGAGAGAGAGAGAGAGAGAGAGAGAAACATCAATGTGAGAGAGAAACATCGATCAGCTGTCTCCTGCACATACCCGTACCAGGGATTGAACCACAACCTGGATATGTGCCCTGACCGGAATCAAACCGGTGACCTTTTGGTTCATGGGACAATGCTGAACCAACGGAGCCACACCGGCCAGCGCCCTGCTTCTTTTCAGGCCTGGCGGGATGGCCCAGACGCCAGCAGCCACACCTGCTGGACTGTGGTTTCACTAGGGAGTGGATCCCAGCTATGCCCCACCCCATGGTCAGGAAGCTGCAGACCTCACAGTTCCCTCTGCTGCTCGGCCCTCTTCTGGGTCCTGTCCAGACCCCTCCGTCCCTCTCCGGTCCCTGTGGGACAGCTCCACAGCCACAGCGCTCTACATCTTCTCTCTGCCGGCCTCTGAGGGAGGGGGGTGGCCATCCTTCCTGTCTGCCCCCCATCCCTCCCTCCAGCTCCCCCATCACCTCCCAAATAGATGATTGGCATCCAAGTTCAAGTTCTAGGTCTGCTGGACACCCTGCCCACAGAGCCCGCTGGATACTATGGTGCCATTTCCCTGTGTTTGTAATGAAACAGACACAAATACACATTTGAAGAGGGTAAGGTAGAGATAAAATAAGCACATTTAAAATAACTTATTTATTAACAACACAATCTCTCTGCTCTCACCCAAATATTAATCATGATATTCGTGGTGGGCGGCAGCGTGATTAAATGTGCTTCATTATTCCCGAAAACCTTGATTAACACGTTGTGATGTAGCGGTTTAAAAAGCCTGGTCTAGTTTCATTTCATCTTAATACTTGGTTCCATGGTTTTGATAGGAAAAAGGCGTTTCAGAAAGACGCAGGGGTCCGAATGGAGAGCCGGCATCCATCAGTCACGTGCCCACTTCCAGGCCACCCCCAGGTGGGCAAAGGTGCCCGTAAAAGTCTGGCCGGCAAACACCCATCTTCCCCCGGGGCCAGCAGAGCGCTCGCTCACTGACCGGATAGATTCGCAATGTTCTGTTTTCTAGACATTTTATTTCCAGAACAACTGTAGAGTCAAAGGGTTTGTACATTGAAAAAATATGATGAGCCCTGGCCAGTTTGGCTCAGTGGATAGAGCCTCGGCCTGCGGACTGAAGGGTCCTGGGTTCGATTCCGGTCAAAGGCACGTACCTGGGTTGCAGGCTCGATCCCCAATAGCGGGCGTGCAGGAGGCAGCCCAGCAGTGTGTTTCTTTCACATCGATGTTTCCCTTTGTCTCCCCTCCCTTCCACTCTCTCTGATAATTAATGGAAAAATATCCTCGGGTGAGAAATAACTAACTCGCTATATAACTAACCAACTAACTAACTAATTAACTAAAACAAACAAACAAAAGGAGTGTCCCTTAAAATTTGTTGTGGATGATATTCCTAGCTCACTCTCACCAACCCTGTACCGAGTCACCTCCTACTGCAGTTTAGGGCTACAAGCATCTGTTTTTCTTCCCATTTCCAACACTAGAGGTTAAACTATTTAATGTTCATCGACCCAATAAATAAAACATGCCGTTGCCGAAACCGGTTTGGCTCAGTGGATAGAGCGTCGGCCTGCGGACTGAAAGGTCCCAGGTTCGATTCCGGTCAAGGGCATGTACCTGGGTTGCGGGCACATCCCCAGTAGGGGATGTGCAGGAGGCAACTGATCGATGTTTCTCTCCCATCGATGTTTCTAACTCTCTATCTCTCTCCCTTCCTCTCTGTAAAAAATCAATAAAGTATATTAAAAAAAAAAGAAATATTAAAAAAAAAAAACATGCCGTCGATTCAGGTGCGTCTCCCAGCGTGAGAGGTTTGATGGTTTTCCATAAACGCACCGGCTCTTCAGACCTCTCCTCTGCACTGGGCCGCCCTAGCCTTCGTGCCCTTTAGAACAAGTCCTTCGTCGTTCCCCGATTGTTTGCAGGAGATGCGCATACATTCTACCTGCTAAGCTTTTACCCTTTAAACATATTGCAGGTATTTTTATTCTGAGGCTTAAAAAACAACGTTGTAGTGTCTGGTGAGAGAAGCTAAGTGCAGTGGAGCCTGCTCATTTGTTTCTTTATGGCTAGATTTGCCTAAGAATGCTCTTCCCATCCCCAAAGCACTTAAGAACTCTAGCGTATGCGCTTCTGTTGTGTTTATAATACTTTGTATTGTTTTGAGTCTTTTTAAAAATGTTTTTATTGATTACAGAGAGAGGAAGGAAGGGGAAGGCCACCCCCCTTCCCTTCCCGCCCCCCCTCCCCCAAACACACACACATACACACCACACCAGGGATGGAGCCACAACCGGGGTCTGTGCCCTGACCCGGAATCAAACTGTGACCTCCTGGTTCATAGGTCGATGCTCAACCCCTGAGCCATGCCCGCAGACATTAGTTTGGGGTGATTATTTGGAGTTGGGTATATGATTCTTTTTCCCAAAACAATGGGTAATTATTCCAGCGGCGTTTATGAAATAAACACTCCATCACTCCCCCCTCTTTCATTTCAAATGCTATGTCATCTTACTTTATTTTATTATTTCAGGTAGCTTCGAGAGTTCCTGCCCCACCTCGCGGGCCTCTCAGCCTTATGTCAACACCGCGCTGTTTGCCAGCGGCGTCCTCAGCTGTAGCCGGGGATTCGCAGGCAGAGCGCTCCCACCTGCTCTTTACGCACGTGCTTCATCCTTGGCATTTACACTTCAGATGGACTTGAGAACATTAACAGGTTCATCACCGAGTACGTGGATGTGGTTGGGGGTCGCATCAAGGACGGGGATTCATCCGTTTGTAGAGAATCGTGGTCTGGCAGCCCGAGTCATCGCCTGGGATCTGCGTCGTGGTTTTTAGAGCTCCTCGCGGGATCCTCAGCGAAAATCGCTTGGCTTTCCTCGCACAGGTTCTCGTTGGCTGCGTTCTAGACTCTGGTTCTGCTGTTCTGAAATGAATCTGTTGACACGATCCCCCCTCCCCTTGAGATATTAGCCAAAACCCAGGTATCTAGCATTCATGGTGTGACTGCATTGGTTGTGTGGAAAAAAGGGGCCACATGCTGACCTGACAAGCTCAGGAGAGGCCTGCATGGCAGTTTTGCAGACTCGGAGACCTAAAGTCACCACAAAGGATGGCCTGAAATTAAACCTTAACTAAAAGCAGTTATGGTGGGCAGTGACGTCCTAAGCCGATATCTTCACTGACAAGGTCAACCTTTACCGTAACTGAGCCTCTCTGTCTTTTTGCATCTATGATAACATGCCCTTGAAATGTCTGGGTAACTTGTGACTTCCCTGTATCTGGAGCCCCTAGGGCACAGCCAGGTGTGCCGGGCCCAGGACAGATGCCGCAGATTCTTTCATTTATCATGTTAATTGTTCCTGTACCCACATAAGTACGTGTCCATCATTTTACTTTTTATCCTATCCTAGAGGTTTCCCCGCTTCACTTAATCCCACCTCCTTAAATCTGTCACCAATGAATTTCATGTATAAATACGGATGTAACCCTGCCATTCTCCGGAGCACTATCTCAATTCGTTGAGGTTCTGCTTCCCGGCATATGTCGACAGTTTGGCTCAAATAAACTCACAAAAATTCTTTACAGGTTTCAATGTTTTTTTTTTTTACGTTAACAGTTGTAAAGAATGTATCGGCGTGCATGGTACCGTATATACCATAAATCTTTGAGTACGATTGCCTGCCTGGTTCTCTGTCTCCACAGGTTGATGTCTTTTAGGTCAGGAGCCCTATGCTGATGGCTTTGTATCTAACATCAGGCACATAGTAACAGCTCACAATGCCTTTGCAAAATGAATGAATGAATGAATGAATGAATGAAATAAAGTGACATCAAGGGCCTACACAGAGAGGACAACCATCTCCTCCCGGGTGAGTGGAGTATGGATTTCCTTACACTCTTTCTGCTTTGCTATATGTGTTTTTATTTTTGTGAAAATGTATGATCTTGTACTTTAAAAAGAAAAAAGATGATTTTCACTTGGAAAAAGAAGCAAGCCACAAGGAAAGAAAGAGTACCTTAAGGTGCAGCTCATATATTACTTGTCAATTAAAAAAGGAGGGGAAAAAATTGCCCGGCGGGTGTGGCTCAGGGGTTGAGTGTTGACCCATGAGCCAGGAGGTCCAGGGTTCGATTCCCAGTCAGGGCTCAAGCCTGGGTTGTGGGCTTCATCCCCGGTAGGGGGCGTGCAGGAGGCAGCTGATTGATGTCTCTCTCTCATTGATGTTTCTATTTCTCTATCCCTCTCCCTTCCTCTCTCTAAAATCAATAACGTTTCAATTACGCTAGTTAAGTTCTGGAGGCCTGTTGTGTACCGTAGTTAACAACATTGTGCCCTTCAATCTGTCAAGAAGGTAGGTCTCATGTTAAACATTCTTACCGCACTATAAGGAAGGAATCATTGTAGCGGTTTTTCTTAGGTTTGCTAATGAGACTCTGGTTATATTTTTACAAAAAAAGTATTTACCTTTAGAGACGTATGCTGACGTAGCTACCAGCGGAATGATACAAAGTAGAGCATTTGCTTCAGAACAGCTAGACGGGGAGGCTGCTGCAAGAAGTCGGTCATGCGTGGGCCGTTGTTGAAGCTGAGCGGTGGACATGTCAGTCCTTACTGCGCTGTCCTACCGCGAAGAACAGGGAGGAAGAGCGGTGCTGGTGGTGCCCGAGGAGAGGGGAGCGGCTTCTATGGATAGACGAGCAGGGAAGCCTGGTTATTTATTTATTAACATTTTTATTGATTTCAGAGAGAGGAAGGGAGAGATAGTCACATCAATGATGAGAGAATCATGGGTTGCACGCCCCCTGCTGGGGATCGAGCCTTGCAACCCGGGCACGTGCCCCTCCCGGTTCCCAGGTGGCTTCTCCACCACCGACCCGCCGGCGGGGCAGAGCCTGGTTACCGAAACGGAGGCCCGCGCGGTGCAGAGGCGTTGGCCGCGGGACGGCCTGGAGGAGGACTGCCGTCCCCGGTACACATGCAACGGTGATCGCGCCTCCGCATTCCTGCCACAGGCACAGGCACGATCCGGACTTGCTGCCAGTGAATGGCTGGCTGCTCGCGCGCCTGGGCTCAGCT